TCTTCTCGATCAATTGAGGGAGAAGAAGGTACTAGAGGAAGAAGGTGTGGCAATAAAAAAAGTGAGACGCGTAATGTTTACATTCGTGGGTAATTAATTTTTTGTTTATTTTAATCAACAAGTTTCGCCGGTTGTTTGCAAGGGCAGAATGGATATTATATAGAAAATACACACGGTGTATATGTGAAATAGGGTTTTTGGTCAGAAACCTAATTATAAAATGTTTGGAGGCTATTGAGCCCAATTTCCCNAATAAAAAAAGTGAGACGCGTAATGTTTACATTCGTGGGTAATTAATTTTTTGTTTATTTTAATCAACAAGTTTCGCCGGTTGTTTGCAAGGGCAGAATGGATATTATATAGAAAATACACACGGTGTATATGTGAAATAGGGTTTTTGGTCAGAAACCTAATTATAAAATGTTTGGAGGCTATTGAGCCCAATTTCCCATATAAAATTATTAAGCCTTCTAGCAAGGGCCGTCTCTAGTTACGTTCGATGCCTAACTGATACTATTTCAGAAAGAACGTAGTAATAGATTAGCACTAGTAGCTCACTAATCTTAAGAAGTCTTACAAGAAAACAAAAGGCCCAGAAAGGAAGGAAATCCGGCCCAATAAAAAAAGAAGTCTACTGTAAGAAGAAAACAGAAGACAAGAGGAAATAAATAATTTATAATAGCCAACCAAATGCCAACTTTTGATTTCTTTGCAATTTGCAATGGTCTTTTATTTTATTTGTTACTATTATTCAGCTGTCAGATTGGAAAGTTCATGGCCATCAATAACAAAAAAAAAATAGTCAAAAGACTCAAAAAGAAGAAAGATTCCAATTAATCTCTCACTTTTTCTTCTAAAAATTATATTAAAAAATTAAACAGTGCATATATAAAATGGCCGTTGGAGATCTCAACTAGCCATGACTCATGGAAAAAGTGATTATCCCTTTTTCATGATTCTAGTTACAACTTACAAGGTCATGCGTTGAGAATGCATTACCAACACATATGTAAAAGCTACACACAAGTTGTTAGAATATATATTTTAATTTATTTATTTATTTTCTCTGTATAAAGTAAGATCATGCATCTTTCTTTGGTCATAGTCTTTTATAATTATACCTCAAAGACCTTTGTTGGTGGTTCTTATAATGACTATGACTCCTAGACTTACATATTAGTGCGGGAAGGGTGGTGGTAATCTGCATTTCTGTACAAGAAAGTTGAGAAATTTTATAAAAACAAATATTTCAGTAATTAATTATACATAAATAGTAGAACCAGTAACATCCAATAAAAGCATACCGCCTAACTTACCTTTTTTGTGCTTCATATGCATAATTTTCATTATTATTCAAAAGTACAATTTAGGCAAAATATATGGACATAAATGGTTAGATTCTTATTATTCGTCGAAAAAACAACATTATTTAAATGATTGGACATAATTTATCAGAAAAAAGCCAATAAAAATTAGATCCCAAAGCGAGAAAGGAAGGCGCGAATTTCAAGGACCAGAAACCTCTCTACGAACATTGTTGTGTTGTGTTTCATTCTTCCGTCCTTCGAAACAAAAACTCCATTCTTCGTAAAGGTCGTCTCTTTTGTATATTGGTTTTGAGTCTGAGCCACGTTCTTCCATTGATCTACTTTTAATTCCCAGATTTCACTATTACACTTTCTTCTCCAGCTTTCCCGTGACTCTCCGTAAGATTCCCGTGTCTTCTTCATTGTCAAATTTTGATTTTTATTTGTGTGATCTCTCTCTCTCTGTTCCTTAATTATGGATAAGTGAGGATCTTTGGTGTTTTTTTTTGTTCTTATGATAACATTTTTCATTATGTTGTAGGAGCTATAAGGGTCGGGACATGGCGGCTTATGTCTCTGTCGGAAACATTCATAATCTCTATCTTTCAAGACAGGTTTACAAAGGGACAGATTCATTGAGTTCTGGTTTTAATTTCAGGGCAAATCCATTCAAAGACCTCTCTTGGTATTCACTTAACAACTTCAAATCTATGTACTAATGAAAGATCCCTCATCTGTAATCTTTTGGTGTGCATAGGTCGAGTGGGGTATCTAAGGCTTTAAAACCTGAGAGATGTGGTTGTTACTCTCGTGGTGTTTCTTCTTTTAATGGGAGTTCAAAGATTAATACAAGTATCAGGGCGGTATCGTCTTCAACAAAGTATTATGATTTCACTGTGATTGGTAGTGGTGTGGCGGGTCTGCGTTATGCTTTGGAAGTTGCAAAGCAAGGGACTGTTGCAGTGATCACTAAAGATGAGCCTCACGAGAGTAACACAAACTATGCTCAAGGTGGTGTTAGTGCCGTGTTATGTCCTTTGGACTCTGTTGAAAGTCATATGCAGGACACTATGGTTGCTGGTGCTCATCTTTGTGATGAAGAAACTGTCAGAGTAAGTTTCTTATTACTACTGATATGCATGTATGTATGCATACATATAATATTGGTGATGATGTGTGTGCTATCACAGATCCCATCAAAACTCTGTAGTTAAACGTGCCTGGACATCCCGGGAAGTCCTGATGTTACAACCTTTAAAGTTTTCATTAGAAAATAATAATATTGGTTATGAGTTGGTTTTGGCATGGACATTGTGGTGGCTTGTGTGGAGAGATGGTTCAAACCTTTCTCACTGTCTGAATGTCCATTTTTCAGGTTGTGTGTACAGAAGGGCCTGAGAGGATTCGAGAACTGATTGCGATGGGAGCATCATTTGATCACGGTGAGGACGGAAACTTGCATTTGGCAAGAGAAGGTGGTCACTCGCATCATAGGATCGTTCACGCAGCTGATATGACAGGAAGGGAGATTGAGAGAGCTTTACTTGAAGCTGTGCTTAATGATCCAAACATTTCTGTTTTCAAACACCATTTTGCAATCGATCTGCTCACTTCTCAGGATGGTTTGAACACAGTTTGTCATGGTGTTGACACTTTGAATATCAAAACAAATGAGGTAATAAAAGATCTTGTTTCTTTTGATTTGATTAGAGTCGCCTTGTAGCTTTGATTGTAATGCCTAAAAACCATGTTTCTTCAGGTAGTACGTTTTATATCGAAGGTGACATTGCTTGCTTCAGGAGGAGCTGGGCATATCTATCCATCAACCACCAATCCTCTTGTAAGATTGTCTTTGTCTGAAACTACCACTTGTCCACATATGGATTTCAATCATGATGTTTTATTGTATAGGTGGCTACTGGAGATGGCATGGCTATGGCTCATAGAGCTCAAGCTGTGATCTCAAATATGGAGTAAGTAAACACCTAAAAGAGTTTGAAGAAGAAACTTGTTGACCAATGGAACTTATGTTTTATGTCTGTGTTTTGTCTTTGGTAGATTTGTGCAGTTTCATCCAACTGCTTTAGCCGACGAAGGACTTCCTATCAAACCACAAACCGCTAGAGAAAACGCATTCCTCATCACTGAAGCTGTGAGAGGCGACGGTGGCATCCTCTACAACCTAGCAATGGAACGGTTCATGCCCGTTTACGACGAGCGAGCTGAGCTTGCACCAAGAGATGTGGTTGCAAGAAGCATTGATGACCAGCTCAAGAAACGTAAAGAGAAGTACGTGTTACTCGACATAAGCCATAAGCCGAGAGAAAAGATTCTCGCTCATTTCCCCAACATAGCTTCAGAGTGTCTTAAACACGGTCTCGACATCACACGTCAGCCTATCCCTGTTGTGCCTGCAGCTCATTACATGTGTGGAGGAGTCCGTGCTGGTTTACAAGGCGAAACCAATGTTCTTGGATTGTTTGTAGCAGGTGAAGTTGCATGTACTGGTCTCCATGGGGCTAACCGGCTTGCTAGTAACTCGCTTCTAGAAGCTCTTGTTTTCGCAAGACGGGCTGTTCAGCCTTCCACTGAGCTCATGAAGTCCACAAGACTTGACTTAAGCGCATCAGAGAAGTGGACAAGGCCTGTTGTTGCTACAGCTAGATCGCTAGGAGATGAAGTGATAACAAAGATTCTGGCTGTGACTAAAGAAGTGAGAAGAGAGCTTCAGGAAGTGATGTGGAAGTATGTTGGTATCGTCAGATCAACCACTAGGCTCAATACTGCGGAGAGGAAAATAGCGGAGCTGGAAGCTAAATGGGAAACGTTCTTGTTTGAACATGGTTGGGAACAGACAGTGGTGGCTCTTGAAGCTTGTGAGATGAGGAACTTGTTCTGTTGTGCTAAGCTTGTTGTGAGCAGTGCGTTGGCTAGACATGAAAGCCGTGGTCTTCATTACACAACGGACTTTCCTTTTGTGGAAGAAAGCAAGCGTATTCCGACTATTATTCTCCCATCTTCACCTACAACAGCTAGTTGGAGCTCAAGGCAGCTACAGAATATAAGCAGCACCTCACTGATTTGAAGTTATGTTCTTATTTGAAGCCAAAACTTTCTGATTCTTGTATTATTTGAAAAATTTTGGGATTCAAAAGAATGATTCTGACAACACTGTCATACAAATGAAAATAATTATTCATCTGAGATTCAGATATCAATCATCTTTCAGTCCTGTATAGCTATGCTTTAATGAAAATGTTCTGTTAATTATGTGTGTAGTGTGGATATCCCAAGCAAGGAACAGGATTCAAAATAGTCTCGTGTTCATTGCCTCCATATCCTCATTTTGTTTCTTCTGAGTAAGCCATTCCAGATGCTTCCATTCTACTCCCACGAAATCACAAGCTTCAAGCTCGCCTGTGGCTTCCATTTAACAGACCAAACATGAATTCACTCGTCCTGTATGGCCTCAGAAAGCTGCAATCCATTAAAGTAGAGCTTTCTTCTTCGATGCCGTTTAGAACAGCCTAGTTACTGGTTCCATCCATAAACCAGCCGGATCAATAGTCTTCTTTGGAGCCAAACCTGCTACTGCAGTGTCTATATCTGAGAGGAAATGAAACATTTGAGTATAGTTGCAACTGAATCTTGGAGCAAGACTAGGACTAGAAGAACAAAACAGATTTACCCGGTTCAGGAATCTGAGGAACGAGCATTCTTTCTCTTGTAACACTCCTTTAAGAACCTTTCAGCATCAACCTTCATTCCAGGTTTAGAGAAAGCAGCGCTAATCCAGTAAACAGTTTGATTACACGGAATATACCCCTTTTCTTCAATCATCTCTTTTAACAACCCTTTTGCCTCTGCCAAGTACATTGCTTTTCTGTTCCACTCAACTTCTGGATGAGTGCAAAGTTTACACAAACCAGATATCATAGTACAATAAGTGGAAGTGTTTGGGCTCACTCTTCTCTTACCCATCTCCTTCATTAGCTCTCTTGCCTGAGGCATCTTCCCAACTCTAACAAACTCACTGATAAGCACATTATAAGTGCTGGTTCTCGGTACCAACCCGTTTTCAATCATCTCACAATATAGTGTCATACTTTCTTTCTTATTCCCCATCTTAGCTTGACCAGAGATTAAAGCATTGTATGTAAATTCGTCAGGACGCATACCTCTACTCCTCATCTCACTCAGCCATTTTTCCACCTCTTTGATTAGCCCAGCATCAGAGAGACCTCTTATTATAGTATTATAGGTTGCAACATTAGGGGATAGTCCTGCTTCCAACATAACATAATATGTCGAAAGAGCTTTTCCTATATGACTGCCAACAAAGTACCCTTGCATAAGGGCATTGAATGTCACAGTATCAGGAACAAAACCTCTTTCTTTCATATCCTCCATAACCATAGCTGCCTTTTTCGTCATACCTAGTTTGCACAGAGTTGCAATAAGAGTATTGTAAACTTGCTTACTGAGCTTAATTCCACAACTCAGGAGTTTCTCGTGCATTTTGAATATCACATCAGCTCTTTTATGCTTTGAAGATGTCTCGAGAAAAATTCGGTATGTCATGAAGTTAGGATGGATCTTCATAAACATCATTTGATGTAATATGTCAATTGCCAACTCCATCTTACCCTGTACACATAGCGTTTCAACCACAATGTTGCAACTCATCAGACTCGGTTTAATTCCATGACTCTTCATCTTATCCCAAAGGTTAAGGATTCCTTCGAGATTCCCTTGCTTTCGTAGTGAATTCATCATTATGTTAAATGTAGCGACATCTGGTTCTAAACCCTTCTCTCTCATTCCTTTGTACGCCCAGTCTGCTCCGACTTTGCCAACTTTTAACAGCCCGTTGATCAAGACATTGTAAGAAACAACATCCCATGGCATCCCTTTCTCTTGCATTTCTTCAGCCCAAGCAAGAGCAGCTTCTTCGTCTCCTCCTTTGAAGAACACATCAATTAAAGAGGTGTAGTTAATACGATCCAGTGTCACTCCTTTTGATACCATGTCTTTGACTAATCCCTTAACTTCCTTAACGCCACCTGTTCTCTTCAAATGATTCACCAGGGCATCAAGTACGTAGTTGTTTTCCTCCAACCCAATAAGTTTCATCTCCTTCCTCATTTGAATAGCCACTTCTTGTTCCCTTGCCTTAAACAAGCCATCAATCACTGTACCATAAGTAAAACAGTTGGGCACAATGTTTTGCTCCTCCATATTCCTCATAACAGCAACAGCTTCTTTCAGCATCCCTCTCTTCACATAACCATTGACCATACTAGAGTACGTGACAACATTCGGAAAGACACTTTTCTCCGCCATCTGCGTTATCACAGACTCAGCACCGCTTAAATCCCCCGCTTTACACAAACCATCAACCAAAGCCGTATAAGTAACCACTTTCGGATCCCGCCCATCTCCCAAAAGCATCTCAAAAGTTTTCTCTCCCTCCCTACACTCCCCAGCCTTAAACAACCCATCCATCAAAACAGTATACACAACTAAATCTACAGGAACCCCACGCACAACCATCTGACTATAAAGAGCCAAAGCCTCCCCATAACACCCCACTTTAAACAACGAATCAACAAGAGTAGTATAAGTTACAGAATTCGGATACACACCCATCTCCTCCATCTCCCTCAGTAACAACCCCGCTTCCACAACTCTCCCATCTTTACACAACCTATTAATAATCGAGCTAAAAGTAACAACATTCGGATAAAACCCACTCATCACCATATCCTTATAAGCTTCCTCGATGGCATGTAGACTATAATAAGAGGTTATGAGTATAGTGTGAGTCACGAGGCTTAGCTCTCCGATCTCATCAATTAAAGACTTAGCTCTAACAAAGTCTCCAACTTTACAAAACCCATTAATCAGAGTGTTGTAACTAACCGTATCTGGCACTATACCTCTCTTCACCATCTCAGAGAGGAAACCATAAGCTTCCTCAACCAAACCATGTTGGCATAAAGCTTGAATCACTGTGTTGTAAGTAACGGTATCAACGTTGACTACTCTGTTTCTAAGTAAACTAACTGCGAATTGCAATCGACCCACTTTGCAGAACGAATGAATCAACGCATTGAGGGAAAAGACATCAGAGGAGACGCCGAAAGTTATCATCTTGCTGTAAATTGATGATACCTTGTGGCGGTGAGAGTTGAGATTGAATTGGTGGAGAAGACTGTTCCAGAGACGTGAATCGGGAGGGAAACCGAAGGTGGAGATTGCGGAGAGAGTTCTTGCTGCTCCGTGGAGCCTCCCGCATCTCAAGTAGAGACGGAAGAGAGTGTGGAAGAGAGAGATGGTGGTAGTATCATCGGGTCGTCGTTGTTTGATTGAGGAGGAGAAAGAGAGGGAATTAGAGAGAAAGAATCTGTATTTTCCCGTCGTGTGATTGTTCCGAAGCTTTATCATCATCTAAATCTCCGAAGCTCTACAAAGACTCCTGTTAAAGCTCTCATGGCGTCGGCTTGTGGAGACGACGCATCGTTTTTTCCCTAAACCCAACTGAGAAAAAGAGTTTAGAGACCTCGACGACGAGAATCGTAAACGACGTCGTTGTAGCGTCCGAAACCACTCTAAAACCCATTTTAGTGTAACCAGGCCTTTAAATGGGCCTTTAATATTTTTGCCACGTGATGTTATACAACACTTATCCAAAACCTGAGCCGTCGGATATATCTTTTTCGCCACGTGACGAATTATTAGTGGTTTGGAGATGGGGACGAATAGATTCATTTAGGTGCGTGTATGAACTTTTTTCATCAATGTACTTATAAACTCGCTTTTCTTCTTCTTCTACGAGTAGTAACGAACCTGATAATAAACTCCTCAGAAGTCTTTTGAGATCTGATCTAAGTTAGAGAATATGGCGATGAGACGAGTCACCGGAGCAGCTCTCAGAGCGTACGTTTCCTCTCCTTCGTCTGGTTACTTGGCACGCCAGCTTCGTGTAAGAACTCTTTTAGATCTCTCACTCTTTGTTGTTCTTTTTGCGGTTTATGATGCTATTTAAGTGTTATGAGTTAGCTGTCTAGTGAAAATCGTGCTCAATCGTATATTACTTTACAGTTGTCTCAGAGTTTTCTTTGGTGAAAACTCGCTTTTGATTTTCACTGTTGTTTGCTCTTTTTGTTTGTTCGTTGAAGATGGCTCTGTGTTGTTTTCAGATCTACGATTTTAACTAAAATTGAATAGTAACAGCTTTTAGTGTTAAAGAACCCGTGTTGTTGTAGATATGTTCAGAGACCCGTGCATGACTGTAACGTGTGACGAACATTAGGGAAGTACAACGGTTCGGTCTTCTTTTTTTTTTTTTTTGTCGGCATTCCGGTCTGATAATTATTAGCCAGTTAGATTTCTCCTTGGAAACAAAAGAAAACTACAAGGTGTCCCTTTCTTGAAATTAATAAACGCCAGGATGTTTGACTTGTTGTCAATATCATGATTTGGGCCTCTAAACCATCTTATTAAGGGTCTGGGCTTGGTTAGGTTTTTACTAATTGAGTGGTCTCTTTTTGATGCTTTTCATTCATCTTTGAAATATATTTAAACGTCAAATGTTAAAAAAATGTTTCTGAACTGACTTATGAAACAGGCTTCTTCCTCTGGTGAAAGCAAAAAGATTGTTGGGGTTTTCTACAAGGCCAACGAATACGCTTCAAAGAACCCAAACTTCCTTGGCTGCGTCGAGAATGCTTTAGGTATCCGTAACTGGCTTGAATCACAAGGACACCACTACATTGTCACTGACGACAAAGAAGGTCCAGACTGTGGTAAGTATTTCATAATACATAACACACACAAAAAAATCCATATTATTATGTGTCGCTTATGCTTTTTCTTATATGATTTGGCAGAACTTGAGAAGCACATCCCTGACCTTCACGTCCTAATATCAACCCCATTCCACCCGGCTTACGTCACTGCGGAAAGAATCAAGAAGGCCAAGAACCTTCAGCTTCTCCTCACAGCCGGGATTGGATCCGACCACATTGATCTTCAGGCAGCTGCAGCTGCTGGACTGACCGTGGCTGAAGTCACGGGAAGCAACGTCGTCTCCGTTGCTGAAGACGAGCTCATGAGGATCCTAATCCTCATGCGCAACTTCGTTCCAGGGTACAATCAAGTTGTCAATGGAGAGTGGAACGTAGCTGGCATTGCGTACAGAGCATACGATCTTGAAGGCAAGACTGTAGGAACTGTAGGAGCGGGTAGAATCGGGAAGCTTTTGCTACAGAGGTTGAAGCCGTTCGGGTGCAACTTGTTGTACCACGACAGGCTTCAAATGGGACCGGAGATGGAGAAAGAAACTGGTGCTAAGTATGTTGAGAGTCTTGATGAGATGCTACCTAAATGCGACGTCATTGTAGTCAACACTCCTCTCACTGAGAAGACAAGGTAAAGTATAACAACAATACATGAGTTAAGAGGAGTTTTTTTGCGTTGTGATTTGATGAAATGGGTTTCTTGTTTTTATGCAGAGGGATGTTTAATAAAGAGATGATAGGGAAGATGAAGAAAGGCGTTTTGATTGTAAACAACGCAAGAGGAGCCATTATGGATAGGCAAGCGGTGGTTGAGGCGGTTGAGAGTGGTCACATTGGAGGTTACAGCGGAGATGTGTGGGACCCGCAGCCAGCTCCTAAGGACCATCCTTGGCGTTATATGGCTAACCAAGCCATGACTCCTCACATCTCTGGCACCACCATTGACGCACAGGTACTATATGTTAATAATTCACATGTTGTATCTACTAGAGTCTTGTGCTTTGAATCTTAACAATGATATATTTTTTGCTGCTTTGGTCTTAATCACAGCTACGATATGCTGCGGGGACGAAAGATATGTTGGAGAGGTATTTTAAGGGAGAAGACTTCCCAGCTCAGAACTACATCGTTAAGGATGGTGAGCTTGCTCCTCAGTACAGGTAAGCTTGTTCAACTCTCTCAAGTCATGTGTATCCGAAGGGAAGGTTGGAATTAATGAAATAAAGTATCCACAGTTTGTGGTCTCTCCATTTGAAAACATTGTAATAAAACAACAAGACATGTATGTGACGTTACTGTTTCATGACATTTATCTTGAGTCTATGTTATGAGGATTGATGATGCATATCTATTTTGATCTTCAGAGTTGAAGCAAGAATTTGTGAAACTGGTTAAGAACCTAATTGACTATTGTGGTCATTTAAAACCGAAAATAAACCGGCTGGAAACACACACATGGTTAGGCACACTCACTCACACCGACGTTGATCCAACTAGGCCATTTACGACAACATTTGTTATAATGTTGTCGAGCGTGGGTCCATCCACGTTTGTACTAATATTTAACTTTCTCGGCAACTATATCAATCAATATTATGGGTATTAAAACTATGATATATATTGTTTTTCATTTTCTCTTGATGGGAGAAGAGAGTGGGATGGATGCTAATCATTCAATTTGTAATTGCTCTGCAAGTCATGTTTTGGAATTTTTGATTCATAATTCAACCTCGGAATGGTGACATTTTTTTAATAAAAAGATATGCACAATCATTAAAAGAGCTAAAAACAAATAATAAATTAGAAGTCTCTAATGATTGAATCAGAAAATGTTTGAGTAAAGAAATGATTTTGATTTTCTCATCATCATTGTATATCTGATAACTTGGATACCAAATTTCATGACAGTGTTAACCATGTGTGTGTGTCGTTACACAATAAAAAACTCAAGTCCTACAAATGAATCAAGTTATGTCGTTATGTCGTTAAAAAAACGCATAATCCGAAAGTTATGTCGTTACAAAACTTTGCTATATATAAACCTTTTCTTTGATCAACCCAAACCTAAGAGACCACACACTATTTTTTTCACTAGTCAAAACTCAAATCCTACAAATGAATCAAGTTGGTTATCATATGGACCAGATTTGAATTTAGTTCATATAATAAAGAAGTACAATATTTGATTCATGCTCCTAGACCAACCAGATCTTGTTCTATTCACCCAAAAATGTCGATATTAAAAGTCATCATTATCAACATTCATGATAAAAGGAAACATTCACAGAACATTACTAGATGATAACCATTTTCTAAGAGATTATACTAATTACTAGATCACAGCGACTAGTCGACACAGTTGACGAGGATGTTTTTGGCGCTGGAAGGTCATTATCAAAAAATCTAATCAAACAAAATGAACATAATAATCGCTAAAGAAAATAAAATAAAATCAACCAAAAAAGAGTATTTGTATCCCATATACAAACTAAACCCCTAAATTAACTATCTACCCTTTTTCTCTCTTATCTCTCCTCCCCCCCTCTCACTATTTTTCCCCCAAAACCATGGCATATTGCTAATATCCAAATTCTTTATGTATTTTCAACCAATTCACCCTAAAATAAAATCAACCAAAAAAGAGAAAGTAATTTTTATTTGGAAATAATATATTTAGTCAACAGAAATAAGATATGTGAACATTAATTTCAACCGCGAGCCAATCACTTAAAACTTATATACGACACCGTTCAATCCACACGATACGAATACGACGTCGCTTAGAAGCACACACCATATGAATAGGACTCGTGAAAATGCACCGCCGGTTTATAATTTTCCGTCGTCAACAAATAAAAAGACTCTCTCTGTACCACTTCAAACTTCATTTCCTATTCTATAAGGTCGGCGATTATCGAGTCCACGGCGTTTCTCTATTCCTCCTTAAGTTGTCTCTACTCAGAGGCTTGCTACGTTTTGCCACCGCCGGTAAATCTCTTAAGTAATGCAAACTTTGAACTGGTGTAGGGTTAGATATTCGTATGCGTTTTGATCTCTGGAATTATCGGATTTGACTTGTTTGGAAACAAATTGAGAGATCTTCGGAGAGTGTGATTCGAGTGCGATTCGGTTTTATTTGTGATTGTGATTGTTGAATCGCTTGTAGATTCAAAATGTAGATCTATGCTTTTCCTTTAGTACCTCTTTGACCTTAGTTTTCAACAGCCTGTGAAGTTGAGAAGCAGAGTTCACTCTATTTTTCTCCTATGGTCGCATTAACCAGATTAATAGTTTCTTCTCAATACGGTGGCGTTTTCTTTGCTAGTTCAAGCTCACTTGAACTCATCAAAGATCTGTGAGTAATTTGATTTCCAAGGATCTAGAAACGGATTTGAGTGTTTACGAAAATTAAATCAGTTCCAGAATGTGTTTTTAGGTCAAATTAGGTTATGATTTTGGTATTCATCTACTTGATCATAGACGTTCTTTTTCTTCTTCAAGTCTAAATCACAGTTATTTTGTTTCGATGGGTGACTGATTTCTAGCTCTTCACACGCAGGTGACTTAATCACGTATGGCTAGTAATACTTTACAAGACTTGAGCTCTCTTCCTGTAACTGGTGAATGTAAAGCAAGCTTAACTAAACCTTGTGTTGGGAAGATGAATGGAGATAGACCATTACCAAGCTCTGTTGCTTTGGATCCCAGTCTTGTGGAAACAGAGAAACCTGAGGCGGAGAAAGCTACAGTGGAAGTTGAATATATTGAATCTGAGAAGTTGAATAATGTTGACGATGCTGATGCCGTTCTCAAGGTGTACATTTCATGCTTTCTGTTTCTCTGTGTTATGATTTTATTGATACAAACTGTGATGAAACTGTTACATCCATCTATATAAAGATTGAAAATTTGACTATCAGTTTGGTCTCATTTTTTTTTCCTTCAGACGGTTGTAGCTGGTCTTGACTCCAAGGATTGGGTATCAGTCTGTGACGCTCTTAATAATGTTCGTCGCCTTTCTATATTCCATAAGGAAGCAATGCTGCATTTGCTGTAAGCCCATCTTCTCTAATACTCAAGTTTATTTATCTCTTACTTAAAAGTAGATGATTTTGAGAAATTGTAGTCTCACGGTGATATATCTTCGTAACAACAGCGAAAAAGTGATCCCACTTGTCGTGAAATCACTCAAGAATCCTAGAAGCGCCGTATGTAAAACCGCATGCATGACATCTGCTGACATCTTCACTGCATATAACGACCACATAACAGATCTGCTGGATTCTCTGGTAACTCTTTTGTCTGTTTTTTTTTACTCGTTCACTGTATTTGTTGATTGAACTTTACTTTGATCTGATAAAGTTTCATACACTATGATGTCAGCTTACTCAACTTCTCCTCAAATCTTCACAAGACAAAAGGTTTGTCTGCGAGGCAGCAGACAAGGCCTTAATATCAATGACCAAATATGTTTCCCCAACTTTGCTGTTACCAAAGCTGCAACCTTGTCTCAAGAACAGGAACCCTCGGATCCGTGCAAAAGCATCTTTATGCTTTTCCCGAAGTGTACCCCGACTGGTAAATACAAGTTCAACTTCTGTTTTTTCCAGAATTATCTTTCACAACACACATCACTTGTTATGTAACAACTCCTTGCGCTATGATATACATATTCCAGGGCGTTGAAGGTATTAAAGAGTATGGAATCGACAAACTAGTTCAAGCGGCCGCATCTCAGCTTAGTGATCAGCTCCCTGAATCCCGTGAGGCTGCACGGACCGTCCTACTGGAACTTCAGTCCGTGTATGAAAAAGCTCATCCTCTCATCAAACCCGTGACTTCATCAGCATTGCCAGAGGAAGAGCAAATCCTGGAGGCAGAGCCGATTACTTGGGAGATCTTCTGCAAGTCAAAGCTGTCGTCTCTAAGCGCACAAGCCGTGCTTCGTGTCACCAATGTTGTGTCAGTGACTGCCACTCGGGAGGGTTTGGTTACTACAGGTTCATCTTCTTCATCATAGTTATAACCATTGTCTACTACTTTATGGATTGTCCTTTTAAAACTGTTTGCTACGGATCATACGGTTACATGGTATTCCTGGGCCGTGATCTACCAAATTGGCAAATTATGGACACACAAAGAGAGTGAAAACCGGTTATCAAAATCTTGGTTATTTTTTTCTTTTTGCGAGTCTTTTTCTCTTCGGTCTTCTTCATCAGTGATTTTCTTCTTTTTTATTCTTTTTTCTGTGTATATATCTATATCAAGAATCTATACTATATAAAAGTTGAGGCTATAAGCCATTGAGAGCGTCCACGTAGGATTTAAGTCCTCCAATCGTATAATGACACATCATTATATTAGTTTATTATTTTTATAAAATGTCATTGTTTCCAAATTATATTAAAAACGAAATTAATATTCCATATATAACTTAGCTAACAAAATAAATATTAACATTTTACAA